TTGAAGCTACTCAAAGAAAGACGCAGCAACAAATGGAAGAAGTCACTGCTTTTAAAAATGAGCTTGCTCTTTTGGATGAGATGGATGGGGCTTAGGGATACATCCTTGGGCTGACTATTCATGTTTTACTGCAGTTCAGCTGTGGACTGGCTTAAGCAGTTAGAAACGTCTAGGGATGGGGGGAGGAGGCACTTACAATTTCCTGATGGAGAATAGGCAGAATAGGGTTTTCCCCCCCCCCCAGCTTTTATTTTGAGAAGTTATTGGGGAATTAAATAATATTAAAGTTCTTTGTAGTTGAATTGTTTAATGCCTTTAGCTAAACAGGAAATGCAATGAACTGTTCCAAGTTTCATCTCAAAGTTACATTCAATAATACCCTTGTCAGGCATTGTTGTCTTTGATGATTTATCTTTACTGAGAAGTATTTAATTGACCTGTAAACACATGAATCCTAGGACTGGATACAGGTAAAAAAAAAAAATAATTTTAGAGTCCTACAGTCAGGACACTATCACACCATGGTTGGCAATGGTATAGCTGAAAAGAAAATTCTTTACAACTGTTGCAGCATCCCCATGGTCATGTGATCAAAATTTGGATGCTTGGCAACTGGCAACTGTCCTGGGGTAATGTGATCACTTCTTGCAACCTTCGGACAAGTCAAGTCAATGGAGAAGCCAAATTCATTTCACAAAGGTGTTACTAACTTAACAATTGTAGTGGTTCACTTAATTATTGCAAGAAAAATCATAAAATGGGGCAAACCTCATTTAATAACTGTCTACTTAGTAACAGAAATTTTGGATTCAATTGTGGTTGTAAGTCAAGGATCACCTATATCCCAAGAGGTTAAGGGAATCAACTCAGTTAGGGTTCAGTGATGACAAACTATGTTTGCCTCCCCTTTACAAATAAATTTGTCCCCTCCACTTTGGCTTTAATATACAAATGCCATTAAAGGCATTCAAAAAAGCAATCTGGCTAAATCTCTGAACCTCTAGATCTGTGGCAAAGCTGCATCATGGGTGGACTGTTCTCGGGTCCAGTTTGGTTGTAAAGAGAATTGAGATATTAAACAGTATACTAGGCCCAGATTGCAGAAGAAAACTTCAGTCTATCTTGTATAATAGTACAATAATAATGTGTCTATTGAGAGAGGGAATCAGATTTCCCAGCTAATTTTAGAAAAAATTATGATTTGCCCAATAAAAGATAATGGGCCAGAAAATAATACTTGAAATATCAGAGAGGAATTACACCTACAGAAAAGAAAGTCTGGTCCAAAAAAATCAGATGGTAAACTAACAAAGAAGTGCTATTACTTTTTTAAAAAACTACTTTCTATCTCCTAGATGAACATCTTTTTTGAGCCTGCCATGTATTTTTGGTTTGCAGATAGTTGGGGTCACAAAGACATCTATGCCTCATAAAATAATCATTATAATTGTTAATCTATTTTACCAGTACATGGATATTAGTCCTTGAACACAATTGCTGATGTCCTCATGATAGTAAATCAGGGCTCTCCATCTGCTTATGCCTGCTCAAGGAGTAATGTGTGCTATGAAGTAAAAATGCTGTTTTACCATGCATCCAGTTTAAGAAAACAAAGCAAGACCATCATACACTCAGAAGTTGCTAAAAGGAGTTTTATAAAGTGTGGTCAGAATGCAGCCAGTTATGACCAATAGCTTAAAACATAACATCCAATAATTAGTTTTCTGGTGGCTATTATATAGATGTATTTTGTATGTTAAAGTTAAATGTATACTTTATTACTGGGAGATTTGGAATTCGTACAAAGTAAAAATATGAAAGAAAATTAAAATATGTGAGGAGTTGAATGTAGTGGCAATGCAGAAGAACATTGTTATTTTAAGTTTAGTGACATGTTTTGATTTCTCCTTCATATTAAGAGAAGTCTAGAAGTTTAGATGTCATTCTGAGCTAACTAGCTTGTTTTTCACTCTTGCTTGCTGTACCAAGAGGGAATCTTCAGTTTCAGAGCCTTTCCCCTTAAGAAAATCTCACACTTTTGATTCCAATCCTCAGTATCATATGCTAGCCAGTCAAAGTGAGATCTTGCAGTCCTGACCAATACAAGGCCATGGTGTCCTGACCTTGGTTTTGATAGAAATTACAGGGTAGTTAATTGTTGGAAGCTTTTGCACGTAACCTACAGCTGGAAACTGTGAAAACGGGCTTCTCTTCAAGTACCTCTGGCGTTGTTATTAAGGAGCTCCGGGCAGCTTGTAAGAGAGTGAAATTCTACCTTGTTTGGTATGTATGCTTTTCATTTTATGCTTTTAAATCTGTACACTTAGTTAATAATAAAGCTTAAGACCCCTTTATTTAGTAGAATGTTTAACATCTCTGGATTCAAATGAATGAAGTACCTGGGCACCTGATCACTGTCCTGACATTTGGCAAAACAATCATTGATCTTTCACTAGTGTACAACCCAGAGGAATTTACACTTGATTCAGAATGGCTAGTGCACTACAAATGAGCTTTATTCTTCAAATTCAGATGAAACAAAATTACAAGTTAGGCTAGTCAACAAACTAAGTTATCAAGTCTAGGTTGTAATAGCATATAATTTGCTTAAATGATCGTTGTTAGCATTTTAAGTCATCGTATTTCCAAACTAAAGAACAGTTCTAGAGATTTAAAAGATGCAGACTAATCAAGAATGCCTTTTAAAAGTTCATTAAAGTTCTTTTCTATTGTTACAGAAATTATTTTAACCAGTTCAAACCTATTGCTGCCAAACTGCAATCTTATTTATTAAATTTGTGTGCCACCCATCTTAACCTACACAAAGTTTATTTTGGATTTTTTTTTTAGAATAAGAAAACTAGGTAACATTATCATACGTTTTGAATGTCTTACTATCACTGCCACGTTTTCTGGCTTGTGAAAAAGTTTTTGCCCACCAATTGATTACATCAGCTATATTGTATTTCCCCCCCACCACCACTAAATAGTTCAGGATTATTACTTGATGATTGACAGCTACTGTTGTGAATTTGCTATGGCAAATTTTGGCAAATATTGCACCAATTGATTTCCCTCTGCAGGGAACAGAAATTTGTGAATTTGGGATTTTAATACTGAGCTGTTGGGGAATGTAGTCCTATCCTTTGTAGTTTGACTCACATTCTGAGTATTTCAGTCATTTTTGTGATTAAAATCTGTCTCCAAAATATCAGGTGACGCTAGACACTACGCTTGACATTTCTAAATTCAGCGAGGCTATGTCCCATGGTAACCCACCCTGCGAATGAATCAACCACCGGATAACAGAGATCAGCGTAAACGAGGGCATCGCGCACACGTTCCAGAGAACTCTAATACACAAGGCACAGTAAAGCCCCTAACTGGGGGCATCTGGTCTGCTTTGCGCACGCGCTAACTATGCTGAGAACTACAAATCCCGGTATATGCACCTTTACAGCCAATCACAAACCTTAAAAAAAATAAAAACCTAAAACGCACCCTTGAATTCGGACGGCAAGGTATAGCACTTCCCCCTTTTTTTTTAATTCCACAAGGGCTGCAGCACAGAAGTAACCTAAATTGGCACAAGGAAGATACGGATCCGTCTCGACCAATAATTAGAGGGTTCAAGACCTTTGGTAAAAAGGGAGAACAGAGTCTGGCGGCGCTTTTTCCCCGCGCTTTAAAGTACAGAAGTTGGCTCGCGCCTTCTTTCGGGTTCCTATTTCATTCGTTCTCGACTTTGCCGAAGCAACACATTCGCTTGGGAGATAGGGGCGGGCTGAGAAGCCAAGCCCTTCGGTGTCGCCCCACCCTTAATCCCGCCTCCCCTTTCCTTTTTGCTATGGGGAGAACGCGGCCGAAAGAGAAGGGCAAAAACGAGCCCCTTCGCCTGGTTTCTTACCCCTAGCGTCTGCTTAGGGGGGGGGGCAACCTTTCCCTCAGACTAGTCGTTTTTGGCCTTTGCGGCCGCAGGCCCTCACTACAAGCCGACCTGCTTTCAAGCCCGGATCCAGCTCCAGCCTAGCACCGCCCTTGCTCCTCCCCTCGCCTTCCCTCCCTCCCCCCGCCCCTTCTTCTCCTTCAGGCCAGCTGCCGCTTGCTTCGCTTGGCTCCTCAGTGGGGGGGTCAGCCTAGGCGTCCCCGGGCCCCGCCCTCCTCCCTCCTCTGCTCCCTCTCCCCCTTCGTCCGGCTCTAAGTTGTCAATCAGGCGCCAGGGCTGAGATAGGCGACGGCAGCGGGCGGAGACGGGCAGCTACGCCACAGCCCAGCGGCGGCCATTCGTGGAAAAATAGGCCGACCTGCTCCTCCCAGCTCCGCCAGCGACCGGCCTTCTCTCGCCGCTACCCCCAGCACCCCGCCCTCCGTCCCTCCCCTCCCTCCTCCTCGAGCCGCGCCTCAGCGGGCGTTAATGCGGGATGAGCGGTACGTAGCCCCCCTCCTTCCCTCCCGCCTCCGCTGCCTTCCCGCGCCATCCCACCCAGCCGCCTCGTTCCTCCCAAGTCCCTTTCTCTGCCCTCCCTCCTTTTTGTCTCTTCCATTCCCTTTTTCTTTCCTAACCCTCCTCCTGTGTACATCCATCCATCCATCCCTCCTTCGCTTCTGTTTCCTCCCATTTTCTCCTCCCCTGCACCTCCCTTCTCCTGCCCCTAAAGCATCCTGGGCCACTCAGTAGCCGTGGATGCTTTAGGGGCAGGAGGAGGGGGAGGGCTGTGGGTGGTTTTTTTCCCCTCTGCCTTACAGTCTCCGATAGCAGAAACCAATCAAAACTCCCCTTTCTGGGCGTTCATCGCCAGCCCCTGTAGGCCGGGTTTAAAACCACGTTTCTTAAGTGCCTGTTTTCCACTAGAGAAGTGGACAGTAGCTTTCAACTAGCAAAAGCATGGAGGACCAGGGACCGGTGAGAACGTTCTGATTATTTTCTGTGCAAAAATAGGCGTGCAGGATGATGCTTAATAAATGTTGTTTCTTTTTTTTATTATTTTTTTGAAGATCAAAAGAAGGAGGAAACTATGCCTTCTGAGGGAGAGAAATCTCCTGAGGCTGAGAACAACAATAGGAACAAAAAAACTGGAGCTTCTCAGGTAAAATGTCTAAAAGAGTGGAGGAAAACAAGAGAGAGAGAGGGAGATGGCAAACATTACTTACATGTATTTCCAGATGGGATGGATTTTTATCAAAATTTAGAGGTTCTTGAAAGACTTCAGAAGAAGAAGAAATTATTAGCTGAGTGGGAATTTCCTAGTTAACACCTTTTTATAACTTTATGGTTAGGTATTTTTTTAAATAATATGTAGAATGCTGTTACTGCTACTCTTTTATAGTTTAGGTTCTAATACACATAATATTTTTGTTAGGATTCTCAGCCCTCCCCTCTGGCTCTGTTGGCAGCAACCTGCAGTAAAATAGGAACTCCTGGTGATAATCAATCAACTGGACAACAGATTATTATAGATCCAAGTCAGGGTTTGGTTCAGCTTCAGAGTCAACCACAGCAGTTGGAATTAGTGACAACTCAACTTGCTGGAAATGGTTGGCAACTTGTTGCAGCTCCTCCTGCTTCAAAAGAAAACAACAACCAGCAAACATCTTCTGTTATTTCAACTATAGCAAATCCCTCCAATAGCAACAATGGAAATGTATCTCCCTCAAAAACTAAATCAAGTAATTCTTCTGGAGTAACTTCAGGACAATTTCAAGTCATCCAACTTCAGAATTCAGGTGGTAGCGTTCGGTACCAAGTGATTCCACAAATTCAGACAACAGAAGGTCAACAAATTCAGATAAATCCTGCTAATGCCACAGCTCTGCAAGATATACAGGGTCAGATTCAGCTTATTCCTGCAGGGAATAATCAAGCTATCATTGCAACTGCAAATAGGACAGCTTCTGGAAATTTTATTGCTCAGAATTTGGCAAATCAAACAGTGCCTGTCCAGATTAGGCCTGGTGTTTCTATTCCATTGCAGCTACCTATTGCTGGTACTCAGGCTCAAGTTGTAACTTCATTGCCTATAAATATTGGGGGAGTGACTCTAGCATTACCTGTAATAAATGTTGCAACAGGTAGTAGTTCTGGACAAGTTGTCCAATCCACTGATAGTGGGCTATCCAATGGAAACCAGCTGTTGTCCACACCTGTCACAACAACTTCTGTTAGTGCTGTGCCTGAATCTCCTACTTCCACTTGCACAACCACAGCCTCCACAGCATTAACAGGCAATGAAACATTAGTTAATACTGGAGAAACAGGCCAGTATGCAAGCACAGCGAATAGTTCTGAAACTAGTACTGAAGAAGCTCAAACTACCACATCTGAAACAGAGGCACAAAATTCTAGTCAGCTTCAATCCAATGGATTGCAAAATGTACAGGATCAGTCAAATTCACTACAACAGGTTCAAATAGTAGGTCAGCCTATTCTCCAGCAGATCCAGATCCAACAGCCTCAGCAGCAGATCATTCAAGCAATTTCTCCACAATCTTTCCAGCTTCAGTCAGGACAAACTATTCAGGCTATTCAGCAACAGTCATTGCAAAATATTCAGCTGCAAGCAGTGAGTCCAACACAAGTACTCATTAGAGCACCAACTTTAACCCCATCAGGACAAATCAGCTGGCAGACAGTACAAGTCCAAAATCTTCAAAGTCTTTCAAATCTCCAAGTTCAAAATGCTGGGCTACCCCAGCAATTAACTATTACCCCTGTGTCTTCAAGTGGTGGTACAATTGCGCAAATAGCACCAGTAGCTGTTGCTGGCACACCAATAACACTTAATGCTGCTCAGATTGCTTCAGTGCCTAATCTTCAAACCGTAAGTGTGGCCAACTTGGGTGCTGCAGGTGTTCAAGTGCAAGGAGTGCCAGTTACTATTACAAGTGTTGCAGGTAAGTCCTATCCTTTTGCAAGCATTACAGTACAGTAGTCTTAACAGTTCGTTTAGTGACTGTTCAAAGTTACAATCAATTGTTTTTCCAGGAAGAACTATTAATTATGAATAAATAATCCTGGGAAAACAATCCTGCTTATGAATGAGAAATGAATTAATGAGTTCCATTTTGAATTGAGTTAGTAATATTATAAATAGTATAAGAGTCAGTCACCATTTCTTAATTAAGAAAGTGATCTACAAAGTATGGAAGAGATGCATTTTCTTTACCTGCATTGTAGATAATAGATATGCATTTATATAAACATGATCTTCTCTTGGTAAGAAAAATATTTGACTCAAAAGTTGACATTTTTTTAAGAGAATCAGATGAATTCTCTCTAAAAGAATTTATAAGAATTATTTTGTCATTTCTCCTATAGATGCAGTGATTAAAAACTTTATTACTTAATGTAAGTGATAGTTTTTCTTTTTAAAAAACCCACTGCCAAAATATGGTTATTTATAATTACTTTGAGGAAAAAATAGTGGAAGAAAAGCATACATAATTTCAAGCGCAGGTCATATTTGACTATTACATTTTAACTGCATACATTCTTTCACTTTTTACATAAAGACATTATGTAAAAAGTTTATTTAGTTTTAAACTACAATACAGTACATTTTGATCTAATAAGTAGTTTTGAATTTTATTACATTTCAAAAGATTGCTGATACTGTGAATTTATTATATAATGTGAATAATGATTACTAAAATCCTCATCTATTTCTTTTTACTCTTAACATAGGAAGATAATTTTGGATTGAATGCAAAACAGAGATTTAATATCTATATTATATGTACCCATTCTTGTTTTATAAGAATGTGACTAACCATGATTTTGCTTCTGCCTTGCCTCACTCCACAATTATTACTAAACCATCTTTCAGAACTGTCTTTTCCATCAGTATATTGGTGAGATGTCTTATCAGTACAACACTGTCATTTTTGCAAATGAGATCCAGAAATTCATATGGCTCCCATCCTTAAATTGTTCAGGAAACTATTAACGACTTGGTTGTTCTCCCAGGCTTTGGGTGACAGTGATTGGGAGGGCTTCTATATTTTCCCTGTTTTGTTTTGATTTGTTTTGAGTATTTTGCTCTTATGCTCATTTGTATCATATGTTTTTTTCTCTTTTGTATCATTTATATACTTTCATATATATATAGTGCTAACTGTAAGCTATCCTGAATAAATGAATGAATGAATATCTTTCAAGCACAGTTTGAGTTAATCCTTTTTGGAGCCTTCATCTGTCATAATTGTACATAACAATAGTAAGCAAAAACAACAGTGTTCTCTTAGTGTATGAAGTAAGAACAACTTGAATAAAATTATGTACTTTTTAAAAACTATGTTAATGAACTTCAATAAAATATAATACTGTCTACAGAATAACAATATGGAAAATAAGCTGTGTATTCTCTCCTAACGTAAAATGTGCTCTTAAACATAATATAGATTTGAAACCATGTATGTGAAGTGAATTCAGTAGAACTTTGAAGTTTTGCTCATAAATGATAAGATAATAAAAAGGTACATAGTTTGGCTTATTCCTTATAGGCCAGTGGTGGCGAACCTATGACACACGTGCCACAGGCAGCACGCAGAGCCGTCCCTGTGGGCACTCACGCCATTTCTGGGCCCCTCCCCCTCTCCACGCATGCGCAGTCCGGAAACAGCTGCAAGAGCTGGGCGGGGTGAGAGAATGTATAAAAGGAGTAGTTTTGGCGGGACAGTGAGTGAAATCAGAGCCGCCATCTCCCTTCTGCAGTGCAGCCCCATCGGCGTGAGCGGAGACAGCCCCGGGATGGCCGGAAAGGAGCCTTCACCTGGTGTGAGTCCTGTCTACAAAGTGGCTCTGACGGGGGCGGCGGCGGCTGCTCTGAGCCCCTTGACTGGCCAACCACACAGAGAAGCAGGAGGTGGCGGCGGTGATCCCTGCATCGCCAAGCCCGGCCGGCCGCAAATCTGGAAGCAAAGCTGTGTCGACCATCCTCGCGCTGGTGGGGGCAGTGGCGGAGGAAGGTGAGCTGTAGCAGATGCCCTCCCCTCCCCACCCGAAGGCGCACATGGGACAATGTGCAGCAGCAGCGGCAAAGGGTGCCCGCATGCCAGATCCTGTCTTCCCCCGCCGCCACCAGCGCAAGGATGATCGGCAGAGCTTCGCTTCCGGATCTGCTGCCTAACACTATCGCCCCCCACACACACAGAGGCCAGTGAGCGCATGAGGGCTGACGGTGTCCGTCAGCAGTCACAGCATGCTGGCTGTCCTGCATAATGGCGGACTGGCCACAGAGCCTCATCGGTGCGGGCGGAAATCGCTCTGGGATAGCCTGAAGAAAGCCTTTGCCCGGCCTGAGTGCATCCACTCGATGGATCTGATGGGGGTCGCTTCTGCTGCTGCTCTGACCGGTCAGCCCTGCAGGGAAGCAGAAGGGGCAACTGGTACGTGAATCTGCTGCCTCATTGGGCTGCTAGTGAGCAGCCGAGGCGGCTCCAGAACCCCGCTGCCCCTCCACCTCTTCCTTCCCTGCATGGCTGGCCGGTCAGAGCAGCAGCAGAAGCCACCCCCATCAGATCCGTCGAGTTGATGCGCCCAGGCCGGGCAAGGGCTTCCTCCCCTCCATAAATTGGCGAGAAGTAAAACCACTCTTATTATGGCTTAGTTCACAACCATAATAAGTTGCTCCTCCTGAGCAAAGGATGTGAGCTGAGTTTGTACCTCGACCTAGATTTTTGGGTGGAGGGGGGGAAATAGCAAGCCCCCAGGTGCCGATGCAGCAAAAAGATTAATGGGCTGCTGTGACCCGCCTCTTATTCCGGCTGCTGCAGATGATGGAGCTGCCAGCACCAGGCAGAAGAGCGAGGCCCTGAGACGGGGTGAATCTCACTCCCTGGGCTGCGAAGCGTAGAGCAATTGGGGTGGGTGGGGTGCAGACAACATGCGGGCAAGAGAATTGAGAATGAGAAAGACGCAGGCAGAAACGGCTCTGGGACACTTGCCTGAGCGCTCTGCTCGTCTGCCTGGCTGCTAGGAAAAAAATTCTCGGGAACAAAGGTTTTTTTTATTATGATTGTGAACTAAGCCGTAATAAGAGAGGTTTTACTTCTCGCTGATTTAGGGGGGGGGGGGAGGAAGCCCTTGCCCGGCCTGGATGCATCCACTCGACGGATCTGATCGGGGTGGGTTCTGCTGATGCTCTGACCGGCCATCCATGCAGGGAAGCAGGACGAGGTGGAGGGGCAGCCGGGGTCTGGAGCCGCCTCAGCTGCTCACTAGCAGCCCGACGCAGTAGATTTGCGCACCAGCTGCCCCTTCTGCTTCTCTGCAGGGTTGACCGGTCAGAGCAGCAGCAGAAGCCACCCCCGTCAGATCCGTCAAGTGGATGCGCCCAGGCTGGGCAAGCAAAAAAGCAAAGGCTTTTTTCAGGCTATCCCAGAGCGATTTCCATCCACACCGATGAGGCTCTGTGGCCAGTCCACCATTATGCAGGACAGCCAGTATGCTGTGGCTGCTGACGGACACTGTCAGCCTCCATGCGCTCGCTGGCCTCTGTGTGTGTGGGGGCTGATGGTATCAGGCAGCAGCTGCTCCAGCCACTGCCTTGTCCCGCCGCAATTGGCACATCCGCCCTGCCTTTCCTCACCTCACCCCACAGGACGAGCCTCCAGTCCACCGCCCCACCTGTCAGAGACCCCCTGGATCTCCCCCAACCCTGCCCGGCCCCCACAAGTGTCCCTCCCCACAAACACCATCGAGGTGGCCATACCCATTGTGGCCATGCCCACCCAGTCGGCTGTGACCACTGAGGTCACGCCCACCCAGTCGGCCACGCCCACCCGGCACACAGCGATAAATAAATGGGTTTTGGGTCGCGGTTTGGGCACTTGGTCTCTAAAAGGTTCGCCACCACTGTTATAGGCTTTTAATAGTTGTATATTGTTTTTGTCCTTTTGATTTTTAATGACGTTGTGCTTTATTACTTTTTAAAAGTTGAACGCTATATTGGAAGTTCTTAATATCAAACAGCAAAGAGGAGTAATTATTGAGAGGGTAGGAATCTTTAATAATGCAGGATTTCATAAATATAGCTGGAAAATATAATTTAATAGATAAACATTAGCTACAGCCACAATGTGTTTATAATTTCAGGCACTGACTTGCAGCAAGGTTCTTTAAAAATATTATGTATATCTTTTAATATAGACAGATTTCACAATCTGAGAAATCTAAAGATTTGAAATAGAGAAATGATTACCAAGAATAACAATAAGAACATTAAGATCATGCAGTATATTTTATGAATCTAGGTCTTTAAATATTATATGCTGGTTAGTCTGATTACTATAAATTTGCTGGTTTTAAATACTTTATACAAAGATCATGTGCTCATTTTCCTAGAGTTCCATTAATTGACTAAACAAAAAGTATAAATGGTCTTTAATAATAATGCTAAGCATTCTGTCTAATTAGGTATAAACTTCTAATATTTTACTCCACATGAATAAAGAGACTCATTTCTCAGACAATTGCAGTAAATACAGTAACACAAGTCTCTAAAAAATGTTATTTTAAATTGACACGAATACATTTTTCACTACTCATCTACTTAAAAAAAGCAATGCAATAATGAGAAGGCTTACTTGAAGTTTTTAAAATTAGTTTTAAATTTGATATTTAGCAGTCTGAAATTATAATCTATCATTACCCCATAGCCAATCATTTACTATTGTCAGTATTTTCCATGTGTAAACAAATTACTTGATTTCTTAATGTGCTTTGGTGTTTATTGCTTATGTTGATTTGTAGTATATTATTTTCTCTCTTCAGATTTCAGTGCAACATTATAGTTTTAACCAAACTAATTGTGATGTTGAGTGGTGTTTTAAATGTTCAAATTAAGTCAATTGGAGAAAAATTCAAAATTATCTTAAGAACATATTGGAAATTA